ATTTTATGTGTTTTTGTATCTTTAGGTGTTTTTTGTTGTCTTTGAAGTAACATTTTTCTGATTTTTCTGATCATTGTTTCTCTGGACTTATTTTATCCCTTTTTTTGTTTTTTGGTTGTTTTGTGTCTCTTTGTGTCTTTTTGGTGATTTTGTCCCATCCTGTAGTTATTGTGTCTTGTATTTTTAGGATTATTTTGCATGACTTTGTAGTCATCTTCATGGCTTCAAACCTTTTGTTTCATCATGATAACACAGCAGTCCTTTTAAGCATAGTGCAAACTCTACATGTCAGTAGCACAATAAAACAAACATTTGCTGGTTTCTTACTGGTATAATCTTCATTGTTGCTGTTATTCTGTGGATGAAGGATGAAATCCAGTTGCATCAGAGCTAGACTGAATGCACTACGATATGTTATAGGCCAGAAATCACCTTTGAAATGCTCTTAAAAACTCTGATTAGGTGCAGTCCTCATGGTAAGAATACTAAAAAGATGACAGAATATATAATTTTGTAGAAGCGGCCAGTCTTCCCCTGCTGGGTGCACTCGCACTTTCTGTAAATCTCTGATGCAATGTGAGGAAAGAGCTCGCCCCTTAAACACGGGTGCATTTGGAAACAATAGCTTGCTTATCTGAAACAAGGTGTGACTCATCACACAAATAAAAATTCTCCCCAGTTTATTGTGAACCCACAGATCTCTGCGGTCTGCAGATCATGTTTGATATATTCAATGTTGTGGGTACAACCGCCAGAAGTAACCGCTTACCCACAGTTCCTGTCTGCACCGGAGTGGAATCTTCTAAAAATAACCTCACACATCAGAGAAATGACACAGGAGTAAAGTGAGGAAAGTCACTCATCAGTTAGCTTTGCTGGTTCAGTATTGAGCTGGTGAGGTGTTTTTCCCCCTGTACTCTAACAGCATGAGTCAGTCTGTTTTCCCCAACAGGCCAATGACGTACACTGGGTTATGTTAATTAGTGATTCTAAAGCCGACCATAGGTATGAATATGAATGAGAATATGAATAGTTGTATGTAATATATCTTAGTTCTGCAACAGATTAGCAGCCTGTCCAGAGTGTGCTCTCCCTCTTGCCGTATATCAGCTAGGATGAGCTCTGTGATTAGCAGAAAATGGGTAGAAACAGTTAACTTTGAGTGAACTAACAGTTAGTTGACAATATGAACTAAAACTAGCATCAGCAGCATTTTTTTTCCAGCATCAACAAAAGGTGCAGGTTCTCCCCAAATTAGTTTACTTGTCCAACTATGATTGTAGGGGGATAGTCATAGTGAGATTAACCCAAAAGTTAGCAAAAGTACCAGTTCCATGAGTGAGGTAGAAACAGAAGTCGAAGTGGCCACAACCCTATAAAATACATTTTAACTTTAAAATTCAAAAGGGTGATATATGTATATATGACAGCTGGGATAGGCTCCAGCACCCCCGCGACCCTGAAAAGGATAAGCGGAAGCGAATGGATAGATGGATGGATATATGTATATTTTTAAACTGCCATATACACTTAAGGTGATCGTAAACATATAAACCAAAAAAGGTTTTGCACTAAACATTCTTTTCAATGGTGTAAAGATTGTCATTTTAACATAGGAGTCTATGATCATTGGCTCTCTTTTAGATTTCTGCCTCAAGTGGCCATTAGATTAACTGCAGTTTTTTTT